GTAACGAAAGCACGTCATTCGCGCCAAATGATTCTAATACAGTCTAAAACAACGAAAATAATAATATTAAAGCCTTTCTGTGTTCATTAATACGATAGTTTAATGTATTAACATTTTTTTATAAATTTTATTCGCTAAAATATAAGTAGGTAGAACAATTTCCCACCATTGGTTTAATTTAAAAAAATATGTTTCAAATTTAATGCCAAATTGCTAGACGGTTCATATAGCTATATAACATAATTGTTTTTATTTTTGTATGAATGACTTTATGTTTTTTAAATCTTAAATAAAATTTTGAGAAAAAAATCTATTTTATTTTAATTTATTTAATTCCCTTTAATTAATTATTCAATCAAAGGTCACATCAAATATTATTATTACTAATGTATGTTATTTAAAAAAAATCATCTGTGAAAAATATGAAGAAAAAATTTACTCTGAATTTAAATAACCAAAAACATCCAGAATATTTAACCCGAAATACTAATGTTGTTACGCTGAAGGAAAACATCGTAATGCAACTTGCACATATTTGCGAAGTAATTCAAAGATATGTGTGAAGTCAACTCGCACTTGGCCAGCGTGGTTGACTATGGCCTAATCACCTCTAACTTAGGATAGACCAGAGCCCCTCGGTGGGGACGTATAGCTGATGATGATGATGACTAATGTTTGTAATATGCCTTTGGTTTTTTGTCTTTGGTATTTTTATATTACAAAATTAAGTAATTTGTGTTTTTATGAAAATATGTTGTTTCAGGGAGAACTTTACATTGCAATTATTAGCTAAGTTTAAAAACAAACTTCACGCAATCAAGGAAAAGAATCAAACAGAAAACGAGACAGTCAAAGAAGACGATGAGAATTTTAATACACCCGATTGGTAAGCTTAGATAATAATAAAGGATGGTTAACTTTAACAAAGACTGCTAGAGTGAATAAATCTGCACTAAGCAACCATAGCACCTAATGGTTGCTTAGTAATGGTTTTTTCTACGAAAATCAAACAAAAAAGGTTACAATTTACATCATGAGTTTTAAAAATAAGTATAAATATAAAAAATAACTGCTTAGAAGAATTAGATTTTTAATTATAATATTTTTTACACACTCGATGTTCACAGAAATATCAGATAGTGTTGATTTTATTTTAAACTAGCTGTTGTCCGCGACTCCGTCCACGCGGGATTAAAAATATAACAAAATAAGTAGCCTATGTTTTCGGGGCTATGCTCTACGCCTGAGTCTAATTTCGGCGAGATCCATGCAGCCGTTCTGGAGCTACCTTTCGACAAACATCCATACATCCATCCAAACATTCGCATTTATAATATCGTCCATACTAGGTCGCGGGCGACGGCTAGTTCTAGATAGTTATGTTTCCTTCTCTGTCTAACTTTTCCTGTCTCTTTTTGTCTGCCACACCTTCTCTATCTCTCTATCACACAATAATTTCATTAATTTTGTCATCAGGATGGGACATACTCTGCGCTTTGAAGACAAAGGCGCTGTCCTAGCGAAGGATGCGTCAACCAAAGATGATGATTGGTTTGACATTTATGATCCTAGAAACCCAATTAATAAGAGAAAGAGGGAAAAGTCTAATAAAAAAAGTAAATAAATTGTTTAAGGTTATTCATTGTTTTATTTTTATACCTAAATATATATTTTAGCGAGGTGTTTTGTCAAAACCCATACAAAAAGTTACTGGGCTATGCAACTTCTATAGCTCACTGCTTGATGTCGGAAAGCTCATAGCAAATTAAATTAATTATAACCTTAAAGAAAAAAATCTAACGTATTAGTCAAATTATGAATTTCCTACCGTTAAAAATCGTTTAAAAAGATCAACGAGGCGTCACGTGGTCAATGAACTCTGTTCAAATTAATTCAAACTGAAATAAGTAAAGGTGTTACGAGAGACGTTATCCTCAAACGTTGATGTTCAGACTATCAGGAGAATCGCCGGTCAAAGTTTACGGGTCAGTGTAGACGTAATTATACTTGCATTAGTGATGTTCCTCACGTATCGGTATCGTACATAAATAAAAAAATGTATGCATTGGTTGAATGAAAAAGGTCCCAGAGATTAATATTATCAAGAAAAAGTTTACATAATAATGACAACATACAAAGAATTTGAAAATACTTAACATGATCGAGGTTTTTGGTCTTATCTTTAATGTGTTTATTTTTGATTTGATGACCATAATATAATTACAAACATTAACCTTAGTTGAACATTTCAATCACTTTCTAAACTTGTCAGTTAGTGTTGTAAATCTATAAAATATAGTAAATCATTGGTAGACAAGATATTAACGATTTTTTTTTCACGGTACTGCAACCAATAACAACATTACAGATAGGCAGAGTCCACGGACTTTCATATGGCGCAATCCTGACACACCTCTCTGGCTTCTGACCAACAAAAACAAATGAGCTCCTTTATTACTAAATAACTGTCGCTCAAGACTTGATCCGCGCGAATCTAAAAAGCCTAATAAGTAGCTTATGGGTTCTTCCAGAATATGTTCTAAATCTGATCTAAAATCAAAATCCGTTGAGCCATTCCGGAGATACCTTCTAAGAAACATAACATCCATCCATCCATGTAACATTCGCATTCAAAATGTTAGAAGTAAGATGAGCTTGGGTTGGGGTGGACCTCAGAACACAGAAGAATAGAATGATTGATTTAAGATATTATCGTAACGAATCTGTAATATCGATAGTACAGCATCCCGTCTCTCAATACGCACTTGTTTTATTAAATTAATAATAAATTTGGCGCGATGCCGTCAGCCCAGCGATCGGACGATAAACAAAACCGTACACGGTGGGTAATTATCTCATTCAACTTCTTACTCTTTGTGTTCAATACGGAATGAATAGTATGGATACGCCTAGACAAATAAGATCGATCTTTTTGCGAGCTTCCACTACCGAAAGTTGTTAAATATGTTTTTGTACAATTATTTCAGTATTGGAAGCTCATTGGTGTTTTATAGGCTAAGTTGTAAACTTCCTTTTAATAGAGATAATTTGCAGTTAAAGCTTAAAATAATCACCAAAATATAACACTGGAACCAAGGACAAATTTTATACAAGTTGTTCAAAATTTTTATATAGGGGTTTATCCATACATTTCTATCGTTGCTGTGCCTTAGTAATTTTCGTTGTTTAGTAATCTAAGGAGTTTCAGAATCTCAATCTAGCGGTGCCTTTCCAAAAGTTCGTGAGAAAGTGCCTGAATTTTGTGATTATTTCGCATTCTAAAGCAAACTTTTTATTTCTCAAGGTGAACAATGAAAATGTTAGAAATGCACAAATATTCCCGTTATTATGCTAGGGGCTTTAAAATAAAACTTTAATAAAGATATTTTAATATTAGCTTCTAGGGATTTTTTGTATTGTAACAGACTTGTTAATAGTATGATAAAATTATATCACATGTCGAGAGAAAACGTAATGATCTCTCGGAACTATTATAGCTGGGTTTAAAAAAATCTACTAGCGGAAGCCATCGATATCGTCGGCGTGAATTTGAAAAAGTAGTCTATATCCCGCACCACGTCCCTTCCCGTCAAAATCGGCCCAGCCATTTCAGAGATTCCCCGAAACAAACACAGGCTCGCGGTCAGACAGACAGACAAAAAGTACATTTTTGTTAGACAAAATATGACTTCTTTGCAATAGTAAATACAGACATTACAATATTATTACTTTTATAGATAGATAGAATAAAAAAAAACTTAAATAGTTCCCTAGACTTCCACGAACATTTCAAGACCAAGATAAGATTAATCCGTTTAGCCGTTCTCGAGTTTTAACGAGACTAACGAACAGCAATTGATTTTTATATATATAACCATATCTTTTTTATTTAATAACAAAGCATACATTGTATGAAGCGATTCCAATCTCAGATATACGCAGTTTATTCATCATGTATGCTTTATCCTACCGATTTATGACCTGCAATAAAACTAACAACACTTAATAAAAGACAATAAGAATGATTCCCATGTGTATATCTCATAATTAAGTGATGGCTATCTTATGAGTTTCCAATAAAAACGTTTATGAATCATGTCTAATTACGAGGTCTTTAAACTTTATAAAGGTCCCTGAAATATTAGTAACTATAATATTGTGGCCACAACAACTACTAGTCAGTGTAATGTGTTCATTTCTATGCCATTTTACAGCAGTTTATGCTGTTACAGAAGGGCGTGGTTGGGTTTTTCCAGTAGTGGCGTTAGAGTAGGCCGAAATGGGGCGACAGCCCAGGGATGGATAAAAAGAGGCCTGCGGTGCCTCTTAAGATACGCTATCTTTAGCAGATTATCCCCGACTCCGAAAATAAGGGGGGGCGCCGCAAAAATCATGACCAGGGCATCGGAAATGCTACAACCGGCCCTGGATTACAATGTAATTAGTTTTTCAAAGTCGTCAGCACTCCCTTATGGAAAAAAAACGAAACTATTAACTAATAGTAATATCTTAAATAGCACCTCCTGTGTTAATATACAATCATTATCGTCAGCTTATGGATAACTTTTCCCTAATCTATCCTAATGTCAAATGGCGTGCAGATTTGTACTAGAGATCAAGCTTCAGCAAATATTGTGCAATATAAAGTATAGAAATACATTTGAAATCAATTTTCCATTATATATGTACAAGTATATTGTCGGTCCGATTAACCAACTTAAAGGTTCACATGATTCGCAAGGAAGTGTGCTCTGTCTACCGGAGCGAGACGCGAGTGGTCACACCCAACGAAGATTTGCAAGCTCTGCGCCCACAACATTATCAAAGTCAAAACCGAGTGGACGTCTTCATTGATCCTTAATATAAAAAAGTTCGTTGACAGACAATGTCGGATTGACATTGTCGTTACGAACTTGTGGCGGGAAAATTTTGACGTTTGTGACATTTGAACATTGTGTTTGTCTTACAAAAAACGTTAATTAGAAGTTTTTTTATTTTTTTTTATTGTAATATTCTTAGTTTCAAAAATGTTTTAGTAGTATAGTATGCTAATCGCTATGTCGCTTAGAATGTTATATGTCTTGGCTGTATGTCCGGTGTTACTCGTGTCTGCGGTACTTACATTGACCATCGACTCACAACTTGGAACCTCTATTGAAGGTATGTTTTTTATTTTTTTAGAATAAGGCTTTAGATGCAAGAAGATGCTGGTTTAATAGTAATAGAAACAACTCTACTAACACTTCATCAACAATCGGGAGATATCGGTAGAAAATCTTTGTGATTTTTTTTTTGAAAAATAGTAAGAAACATATGATCTTGAATTTCTTGACGGTGTCCTAAACGGTCGTAATACTTCTACTTAAACATGCAAAGATTGCATATTTTTACCTCGGTTTTCCCCACAATATTAACTTTAAGGGTCTTTTAATAGTATCAAGACATTTACATTGAAACTAGTCGTAGCTCGAGACTCCGTCTGCGCGGGATTAAATGCTTATGTGTTCTTCCAAACTATGTTCTACTTCTATGCCAAATTTCAGCGAGATCCATCCAGCCGTTCTGGTGATATCTTCTAACAAACATCCAACTATGCATCCATCCATCTAAGCATTTATAATATTAGTAAGATGGAAAGATGTATGTAGAGTAACTCTAATCCTGAGCAATAACTATTGTTACTTTTTTATTTTTTGTCGTTAATTTAAATTCATCGTAATCATAGATGACCGAACTTGCTCTCTTTTTGCTTATATGACCTCTATATTTACTAGGATGTAGTTTTTAAAGGACGAAGTAGTTAGTCATCTTTAATATTGTTATTTCTGACTTAAATGTGACGTCACTTCCTGTTGATGTTACGGATCAAATCTTCATTGTAATTATTGATGTTTCGGGTCAATTTGCTTTGCTTGTAACTTTTATCAATTGTCTTTAATCTAAGAGAATAAATTAAAGGATTATTTTGTTATAAAATTGAACAACGAATAATGTTACGAATTTATTTAAATATAAGTTTATGTTATACTTATGTTTTGATCATCAGGTTTCCAAAGTTTTTTATTATTAATGTTTTTTTTGACGACTTTTTGTATGAAGGTTAAAGGATATTCTGCGACTGTGCTCAACATTAATAAATTATACTAAATAATCAACGTAAATTGTACTTAATCATTAATTCTTTTCTAGTTCTTGTAAAAAAAAATCTACGAAGATCGGTTTAAGCGTCTTTGTATATTTAGCATGTATATCTAGATATATGTTTTTTTTAATTAATAATTTTAAATCACAGGCAATTGATCCATTAACTGGTTTTTATCTGGATTGTAACTGTACCCCTAATGAAAACTTAAGTAGTATTTAAACATCTTTGTTTAAATATATTTACGAGAAAATGTCTGGTTGAAATCTTGTTAGAGAAACATTACACTTTACCGTAAGACGCAGGACGCAACGAGTTAATTGAATTTTATATGAAAACCAGTTTTATTCGAAGTACAGATTAAAAATAACGGCATATGATTCAGCGTTCCAAGATTGTTTTATTTGAAATTAATTAGACGTTGCCCAACTTTAGTGTATTATTGTATGAACGATGTGAACCAAATATCTTCTGATTAAATAATGAATTGTGACATTGAGTATTGTAAGTGAATATCAAATGTTAAGCACAAAATAGTCATAGTAACAAAGAAATAATTTATGTTAGGAATAGGACAGGTATTTTCTTTTCTTTATTATATTAAAAGTTAACAAGCAAACCTATAGATGCGAAGAACATTTATAACGATGACTCCTTTAAAAAAAACATACATTACATGATTCAACATTTAAATAATTACTCGGGTGTAGACGTTTCTTATAAAGTTATTTATTTTTATTTTCAGATTGTTTTGAGCGTATTTCCATTGGCGAGCAGTTACCGCGGGACGCCATCTATCGTAACATCTCAGAACTAACAACAAAAGAATGTGAGCAAATCTGTAAGCAAGACAAGCAGTGCCAATCTTATGACTATGGGTAAGTAGTCTCTTTGTATACCGTACGGTGGCGATATACTGTAAATTACCGTGTATTTTACTCTTAATATTACTCTATTATTCTTCTAGTGTCGGAGCAAAAGGTAATGCTACGTGTAACCTGAGCACATTAAGTGAAAAGGAAATAAAAGACAAAAGTGTTCTCCGACGTCATCCTGACTATGACGTCTACGTTCGAAGATTTCAATGTGAACAGTCACCACCAACCCCAATACAAGCTGAATTTGATGACCCTGACGGATTATTACACAGACCAACATTCAAACCAGCCAGTGATCCAAAAAAACCCCTATCAGACGAAGTATTAGATGATTTAGGGTCTTACAGTAATAGTGATACGAATAAAAAACCAGCATACAATAATGAAAGACCGGATGATTATGATAATTCAAAACCAGACTACGATAGTCCACCAAGTTATGGTTTGCATAAACCTCAAGATGTTCCATATGCAACGGAGAATCCGCAAAACAACATGTCAAATACAAGACCTGACCCTTATGATGTACTTCAATTTCAAGACCAGTATGGCCGACCACGACCTCAAGGAACCTGGAGACCAGAGGAAATGTATGGTCATAGACCGGATGATTTCGGTCCAGACCCATATCGACCTGAAATACCTCAATATCAATACATAATTCGACCGAATAGAAAACCATATAATTCACCACGACCTGAGAATGACGATGGCTATGGAAATAAACCTGATTACACCGGTAAGCCTGACTCTTATGGACAGAATATTCCCCCCACCTCACTTGACAGACCTTATAAACCAAACAAACTCGGTAACACCTACCCCTCAAGACCAAATGATAAACCAAATTATAGTTATAACAGTCAATACGCTAGCAATTATGGTAGCCAGTATCATGATAATTCTATTTACTTAGAAATATATGATCCACCACGAACATATAAACCACCAAGTAAGCCGAATAGACCAGGGTATGGTACCAATCAAGGAGACTATGAATATGGACATCTTGGATATGGTTATGATACATTTTCGAGTCAAAACTCATATTCACATTCACACAACAGTCAGTCGCAATATTACGGTTCAGGTATATTAAACCAAGGCAACAGTTATCGACCTGATCCAGAATATTCCCATAAACCGACGAAGCCATACGAAACACAAGATATTGGTTATGGTTCTCAATCTTCAAATAACCAAAATAGTGGCGGGTATGGATTACTATCAACATCAAAACCTAAACCTAATAAAAGACCAAGTTATGGTGGTTACGGTTCACAAGGAGCCACAGATAGCTATGGCTCTGGTTATGGTTCTGGTGACAGCGGATATTACAGTAGCAGTCAGTCATTTGTAGGCAGCGAGAATTATGAAAGCAGTAGCCAAAGCCATTACGGAAGTAGTCACATTCAAAATGAAAAGCCTCAAAGCAATAATCACGGATATGGAGGTGATAGTCAAAGTAATCAGGCGTCTTATGGTGGAAGTAGTCAGACATCAAATAAAAAACCTTATGAGGGCCAAGGTTATGGCAATACTAATCAAAACTATGGCGCAGATCAGACTTCATATGATTTTAACAACAATGGATACGGTAGTGGTCAGTCAACAAATAGGCCGTATGGTGGTGGTCAAGGATATGGCAGTAGTCAAAGTCATTATGGGAGCAATCACGGTTCATATGCAGATAAATATGGCAGCCATCATGAATATGGAAGCAATCACAATAAACCAGGTTACGGTGATGGATTTTCCAATGATAAACCATACTCGAGTAGCTCGGGATATGGAAGTGGTAGTCATAGCAACCAAGATGCATATGGTGAAACAGGTCATTCGAGTAATAGACCTTATGGAGGCAGCGGGTATGATACGTCAAGTAGTAATTACGGATCCAGTAAACCTCAAGGCAGTAATTCTGTATATGGAAATAAAAACAAAAAACCCTCAGCAGTAACCTCTTATGGAGATGGATATGAAAGTTCTAGTGGATACAATAGCAATCATGCTTCCTATGGGGGTACACAATATGAAAGTAGTCAAGGATATGGTGGTCAAAACTCTTATGATGCTAATTCTAACTCCTACGGAGGGAGTCGTCCTAATAAGCCTTATGGCGGCAGTTCTTCTAGTAAGCCCTATGGACCAAATGAAGGATACAATGATCGTCCTGGTTACGGTAATAGTGGTTCCGGGTACGACTCAGCAGGCTACGGAGGTCAGTCACAAAGCTCAGGTTACAATTCCCCTCCATCACACAAACCTGGGAAACCTACAAGTAGCCATTCTTACACCAGTCAACATGACTCTCAGTATCAATCGCAAAGTTCATATGAATCCAGTTCAAGCTACAACAGACCAATAGATGATGGTAGCTATCGCAAGTCTGGTAACCAATCAAGTTATAGCCCTGGTTATGATCGCGATAGACCTGATGTGAAACCGGTTTATGAATATGAGATAGATCGACCAGGTGAAGCGTCAAGTTACGGCAAACCTAATGGGAATGTTATCACTACAAGACCAGTGGCTGTTGGTGATTACGCAGTCAAACCGTATGGACGAGATCCTGGCGGAGAAATATCTTATAAAGGTACGTATATAAATAGATTTAAACGTCGTATATATTTACATTATTATTGATCGCATAGCGCCTTGAAATTTTTACCCTGCAATATATTCAAATCAGTTAGGCACGTAGCAACTAGGTATGCATATCATATCATATTTCTGCCAAGCATGTACACAGTTTTCATTAGAATTATACTCTTAATTAATAAATACTTAATATGCAGTTGAACTTTTAATAACACAAGTATACAAATATTTGCAGCATGCAGGATAAATTGTGAAAGGAGATATAAGTAATACATTACGACTGGTAATTTTGCAATATAGCCGTCGCGAGGAGAAATGTTCAAACAACTTTTAATTATATGCAGGAATGCAGTGCACCTGTCTTCCTTGTGCACTTTCTATATTGCTTTTAAATATCTTTATTAATTTATATCTTATGGTGCAAATCATTAGCTCAAGAAACGTCCCCACTAAAGGGCTCGGAGTCTACTCTAAGTTAGCGTTGACTAGGCCATAGTTGACCACGCTGCCCCACTGCGGGTTGGTTGACTTCACACATGTCTTTGAATTTCTTCACAGCATGTGCTGGTTGCATCACGATGTTTTCCTTCACCGTAAGAACGTCGGATAAATGTACATATGTAAATCGAAAAACTTCGAAACTAGGACCTGCAGATTACAAGTCCTGTGCTTTAACCCCTGAGCCATATGGTGCAAATAATATAATGATATTATTTTATACACCTAGCAATAAGTATATTTAAAACACACTAAAATAATCAATCTTTATCGAATCTCTTGTGGGGTGACAACTGGGCGGGTCACACAACATAAACGTAACATGAAAATTGCAGCTGTTTAGTAGTTAAACTATTGTTTAATGGGTTAACCTTCATAATCCACGCCTATTTTAAGTTTAGCTTCCATGTTGACGTAAGGTCATGCCCTGCGGTCACCAGACGGATATATTATAATGTAAATTAATTGTTATTTCACACAAATGATTATGGTGCGTTAAATTCTGAAACAAAAACGTGAGGTTGATGAATTATGATCGCAATCGGGTAAGCGTTGACTTCATTTTACAGTATAATGACGAATTTTTATTTTGTTTCCGAGGTACGTTGAAATTAAAAATTGCATTTACATATAATATCAAAGGAGAATATAGTTGCTAAATGTCGCAATGTTAGCATTTTTGCTTGATGGACAGTTTTGATGGATATTTTTTTTAAATATATGTTCTATTGTTTTATTCTTTAGCTTACATTGTAATGATTTAAAAAAAACTGGAGGGTTAGACAAAGTGCATCTTCGAAGCAATTCCATAACGAACTCCAAATAAGTATAGAACTGACATTCGATAAGTCATGTGATTATCCGCGCGTCACTTTCATTCATTATTGAACGTGCCGCGCGTGAATGCACTTTGTCTAACCCCGCTTAATTCATCCGATTGAATTTTTTTCAGAGTGTAGACAAATTTAGTCAGATTTATTGGTTTTCGAATTAACTATTTTTTATGTTGATGTAACTTAACTAATACTGTAGTATGTCCGTATATGTCAATATGCAGGAAAATAATTTGATTACACCCAAAATTGTCACTCAAAGTCATGACTACGAGGCGTGATGGTCATAGACGCGCTTTTGTTTCATTTAATTGACCCTGCTTAACAATTTATTTTCCAATACTCTTTATAAGCTATGAATTAATACAGAAAGGTTGTTCACGATTTTCTTAATAACAACTTAACTCAGATTTAACTTAGGATACTTATTGTACTCACCTTTTATGTAAGTACAAAAGTTTACGTGAACGTACAGTGCAGTTGTTCATAAATTTTTTACCCACCGTAATGGCTGTATAATGGAAGGTCCAAACAATTCAGTTCGAGCCTACCGTTTACGTTTTGCTTGTTAAATTACACGTGGCCCAAGTTACAAGTATTAAACAATCCAGTGTTATTAAGACTAAAACATTTTATAATTTGGAGTTAGCTAGGAAGCTCAATTGATATCGATTGTTGCAAGAAGCTTAGAAGTTTAGAACGCCAATAGCTTAATGGTTTAGGGTACGGATTTCCGATTACATGGTCGAGAGTTTGAATGCCGCCATTCGAATACTATCGTAAACCATATCCTACCACAAACATAGAGCTTACTTGGAATGGTACAAGAAATTATTATACAATAATAAAGCCTTTATTGCTGAAGATAATTAGTTTTACAAATTTTATACAGTTAATAATGTTGAGTACCAAAAAAATAGTTTTGAACCGGCGACTGTTATCCTTAATCTACAGCTTGTCCTAGGACAAAGGCCTCCTCTAAAGATTTCCATTTCTGTCTATATGAAATATTAGTAAACCAACAAATCTACAAATAAAAAAAAAAGAAGCTGTGGTCGCACAGAACAGAAGAGTTAAGTGGAAGTAATTTTTCATATCATTTGACGAGTGTGCGTGCCGAAGGCCTAATTTCAGTTCTTTTTTAATGAGATGGATTTGGCAGAGGACGGGACGTGTGGGCGAAAGTAGGATAATAAATGAGTTTGTAGTAGTTCTCTTATAACTTGGTACATTCTCTTAAGATAAAGATCTGGTATCTTAGGATCTTTAAATCATTGTGTACGAAAACTTATTGTTGAGGTTATATCATATTCATGTAGCTATTTGTAGGCGGCCTTCGCTATTATGCATTATGTTTTATACAGGTTTATCTCATTTGAAAAGATCGTTTGATTTTTTTAAACAATTCTAATGTACTTAATTTGGTTGAATTGTGTTAAATTGTCTTACAACGATGACAGAAATATTTGAGATTTTATTAACCAGTTGAATAAAAGTCATCGGAGATTTGATTTCATTTATTGACTTCAAAGATGTACAGAGAGTGTTGATAATTTATAAAGTTGATATTTTACTATTTGAGTACTGTTCTATTTGTATCTGATGTTTTAGTCGTATTTTGCTATGGCAAATAAGACTTATGTAATTAGGGAAAAAAACGCAAGGGATTGGTCTTGGTCACACAGAGGGATTATTTCTAAAAATAACAATCAAGATTCTAATTATTAATATTTAGATATTTAATGTCGACAACAAATGAAATTATACAGATACAGCTTTCCTTTTATATTTTGTTATAACTAAATGGTTACGTAGACAACTTGTATTGAAAAAAAATGAACAAAGTTTTCCTGTTTTCCGTGTAATACGATCTAATATTTCACTGTTTGTACCTCGATTGTTTTAGAATTGAGTCAGAATTTTTTGCATAGTGATGTCATTTGACACATTGATTCCCCTTATGAAAAATCAAAGATAAATCTTTGCTATTTGCCATTGTGTGAGCAGCCTTGGACTGTGAAACAATGCTCTGATGGTTTTAGGAAGCGTCCCTTCTATAACTTCTGATTCTATGGTTTGCATGAATTAAGTTTTACCATATGGATAAGAAATACACGAATCATGTGTTTGAATGCTTTTTAGAAAATAATTATAATAACGCATAAGGAATAAGCTTAATTTATACAACTAAGCGTCACCCCGGTGGCGCTGTTGTTAAGCGCTTGACTGGGCCGGACCGAAACTAATGTGTTTTTCGATTTACGAATCTCATATGTACATTTGTCCGACGTTCTTACGACGAAAGAAAATGCAACCTGAACATATCGGCGAAGGAATTCAAAGATGTGTGTGAAGTTAACCAACCCACAATGGGCGTCGTTGACTTAGGCTTGTTCACCCCTAACTTAGATTAAGCTCCGAGCACGTTGTTGGGTACATAAGGTATCAACGTATAAAATAAAAATTAAAAAAATAAATTGATGAATATATTGTGAGTTAATTTACATGGAATTAAAAAAGTCGTTGCGTAAATAGGGAGGAATTTTATTTTTAAAATTATTAAGAAAAAATGGACAAATTTTTAGCCGTATCACCTTGCTATGTAATTATTTCCTGTGGACTATAATCACCAAATTATTTTTAGGATGAACCAAGGTTATCCGCGTTCTATTGTTTTATGTTTTAACAATAATTTTAAATATTATTATGCGTAATATGTGGTCTTTATAATTTGAAAATAATCACAGAATACCAACATATTAAAACTTAAACAATATAAAATTATTTTAAAAAATATTTATTTTATGACCAATGAGTACAAAATGCAAAATGCGTGTACGTTATTTTCACATGCGAGTTACAATGGTAGGATATATTGAGGTTTTGCCGCGAATAAATCTATTTTTTTAACAGACAATAGGGCGAGTGCTGGGGTTATCAAGTGTAATCAATGTGACGTTATCTTTATGTGGACATTCCGTAAAATTATTTACGTTTTTTTTTGCAAATTAAAGAAATGTGTGATATAAGTTCATCTCAATATACTAAAGGCAACAACAGAAGTTTAAAAGTATTTTCTTTTATAAATAAGTTAGATTACAAAAAAAAATAATAGAACAAAGAATGCTAAAAGTTCAGCACTGGCAGTCTTCTTTTTTATTTCACTATTACAATTATTTTCTTGGTAATTTATTTTTGTTTTTTTTGACAACTAACTTATCGTGTCGTTCAATGTTCTTTTTTCTTATATTATTTTTGTCATATTTTAGACAATGTTTGTCATGAAACGGTACTTATATCTTTTTATAAGGCTTTGCAGATAATCAAAACAGTCAGTCACGAACGTTTCTGTATAGTTTTAGTCGTGTTTAAGAGACTTTAGTTTTAATAACGTTGTCTAGTGGTTATACTAATCTTGTTTAAATTCGATTATCCATATTAGTTTTTCATCAGAATTGCATTCATATATAAACTTATGTCAGACAATACTTCTGTGCAGTCGCGATATGTTACGCGCTGTAACCTCACTGACCCACATACCACGGAATCATATTGAATTACGAAAAAAAAAAATAGAAAAATAAAATAAAATGTTGGATTATCGAAAATTAAAATAATTTTATTTGTGTTAAAATTTAATTAACAACTTTGAATTTATGTGATTTTGTGTATATAGTTTTGAATTATGACATCAAAGTGTAGTGAAAATGAATGTGTTGACATTTTTTATTGTTTGTTTGTGTGCACATAGTATAGTGGGTTCTCGGGTGATCGTTGTGGAAAACGCTCCAAGTGGGTACCAAATATATATGTGTAAATTATTTTGAATAACTCATAATTTACAGTGGTAGAGCCCGCTTTAACATCTTCGCACGAATTGGCCCGGCTCGCCCGGTGAAATACCACGACCACACAGAAGACAGGCGTGAAGTGGAAGCAATTCCGCGTATCGTCTGTTGAGTGTGCGTCCCGGAGGCCTAATTTAGTCCTCTTTCCCTTCCTACCCTTTTTCTTATAAGGAAAGGATGGGAAGTGGAAGTAGACTTTCCGGATGAGAGGATGCATGGAAATGTTTTCTTTCTGTGTATCCCCTTCTCCGTCGATTAAAGGTAGGCAACGCATATGCAATTGCGTATATCTATGGGCAACGGTCACTTCGCTATTTCAGCGATTTCAGATGGCCGCTCGTTTTCCATCTTATAATATAAAAAAATATTAAAAAGCTCCTTAAAACATCTCTTCTATGGATAATGGCGCGCAATGCCGCACTCAAAGTCTTTAAGTCTTCATCTGAAAGTCTCCTTTTGATACCAAATCTACGCTAAGGAGTCCTCCTTAGGTGAAATCAATGACACTGAATGCTATAGTTAGTACTTTGGATTTCAAATATGAATCTAGTTTAAATGAGAGTTTCTCTTATGATAGGTAAAATAAGTTGCATATGTTGAAAATATTAACTTACCTATTATTGCTTGCTTCTGAGCCTTAATATTGTTATCCCTTGTCTGTGTTTTGTCAAAGATAATAACAGAGACAATGATATATTTCGTGCAGAGATACAGGTTTTAGAAACCCACGGTTAGTGTTGTATAATGTTTACGATATGTCGTTTGGTTGCTTAACGTTCGCAAAAATGGTTTTAAAATTTAAATAAAATTATGCAAAGTCAATTAAGGGATAAAAAACTAATTAATTATATTAATGTTATTAGTCGACATGAAATATTTGGGGAAAATTATCTTATTTTTATACCTTTTTAAATATTTTGAATATTTATAGTAATAATTTTGTTATTTATCGCTTTGCAAGTTTTGTTTATAAAGTAAATTAAAAAAATCGCTTCGAAATCGTTTGTTTTGCTTTTTGCATTATTGATTAAAACTATGAGTAATGAAAAAAATATATATATTTTTATATTTTATTTTGATTCACATGTAAAAAAATTAATTGGTTCTAAGCTTTAGGCACTAGTTACAAAAAATGATGGATTTTTTATCGGCAGCATGTTTCCGCCGGGTTCTGGCGGGAAAACGGACGTTAAGGAGTCACGTCAGACGCGTGGTGAATTGCGAAAGGTTGGAGGACTGTCAACGAGAATGCGCCATCGAGAGGCGTTTCCACTGCGAAAGCTTTAACTATAGGTTAGTATCATTAAATATAGTAGTATCAGTCAGTGCCACAGTCGTTAATTAGTCACTTAGGGCGTCTCTTAGAGTTATTTAGAGGCAGTTAGTGTATGTTTAGTGACAATCTGAAAATATTTTTGTCCAAATAATTGAATAAATAAGTGTACAAATTCACCAATTACTAAATAAAAAGCTTCGTTTTCGGTATCTTATCTAGTAAATACAATTTAATACAACTAATATTATAAATGCGAAAGTTTAGATGAATGGACAGGTGTTAAGTATTACCAGAACCGCTTAACGGATATCGCTGAAATTTTACATAGATGTAGAACATAGCCTGGAAGAACATATACGCTACCAAAGTACCTAATCGCCTGGACAGCATCGTGGATATAAACTAGTATTTATTAAAGAATTTAAAATTTTTGAAAAAAATATATATTTACATGCAACATGAAATCTGATAATTTAATAAATATAACGAGACGTATGAAATATGGTTGTTTTTTATGAATAATATTCTTGCGTGTGATTTAAAACAATAATAAAGTTTTATGATCATATTTTTATGTGTTAACACTCCCACGAAGTTTTCGCATGATTGTTGTCAGTTTCCTGATGGCAGCTTTGTGCGACCTTAATTTTGACTCGAAATAATTGACCCTTACTAATTTAAGACTGCATTTAAAAAGACAAGATAAGTATTTTAAAGTTCTCCTTGTATTTCATTTTTCTCCCGTCTAGATAGTTTTAGACATTATTAGTTAGAATCCTGTGGCGCGAGTGGCCCGCTTTTATTACCAAGCCCAGTATCAGGATGATTAGAGACGGGACATAAGCGTTTACATTTTAATAAGGCAATGTTGCGCCGATATACCGACACAGTGTCGGATTTTCTTCCTAACAGTAGGTAACACTAGGGCGAGTTTCCACAGTCAATCAGTATAATAGCAATATTGCCATCTCTTTTGTTCTACTTGAGAAAACGGAGACATTATGATCGTACACACGTTTTAATGACAGTTGAAATTCAAGTATGAAAGCTGGTTAGGCAAGGAATACACTATGAAAGCCTAAGAGAAAGCCAGAATAACTAAAGGTCAATATAATTTACAACGAATTGTGTTTTCACTTGAAATACATAACTCTGCCCGTGTCCAATCAGGGTTAGAATTCAAGAAAATCTGATGCGAATATTTGGATGAGTGAATAGATGTTTGTTTGAAGCTCCAGAATGGTTGAATGGATTTCGACGAAATTTGGCATACTTATAGAACATAGTCTGGAAGAACACATAGCCTACCTATTAAGTTTGTTTTTAATTCCGCGCAGACGGAGTCGTTGGCGTCAGCTAGTTAACCTATAAGTTAATTACTTCACAAGTAGTATCAGTAGTCTAAAGAGGAATTTGAAAAACAAAGATATGGTTTTATAAAATTTTACCATACTTGTTTAATAACTATACTTTTAATAGAGATGTTAATAACGATTAATCTGTGTTTTTTACTTCTTTGAGGATGTCTAGTATTTCTTTGTTATACTGTTTTGTACATAATTGTTAGATGAAGTACATTGCGTGATATGTTAACCAAAAGAGATGTACTCGCGGAATGGCCGACGGCCTCGGCGCAATCAGCACTAAACATCTGCATTGTTGTCGTACGTACTCCCTGCCGCGTCACCTTGCGTATACTACTGCTCCAGGGACGGACTTAGGTCATGTTTATAAAATGCCATCATAATTAAATTTTTCAAACGTATTTAATCCGTAACTATCAGGCTAGGCAATTTTATATAATAATGACGGAAAGTGTGATTGAAAATAATATAAACTCAAAGGCAAAATTGCAAATTTACAGTTACTCGTAGTAACAAATAATAAAAGCTTGTTAAAAATGCCTATATTCTATTGTGGTACTGTAGTCGAATCAAATAATAATTATTAATAATAATATGTTACATTGATAGATTTGTATTGTTTTTATTTTGATTTCGCGATACTTCTATTTTTTATGCGATGTAAAAATCGTTTAAATTTGAAGTACAATACGTCCCTGTCAAATAGGTAGTTACATGCAACTAGTAATTTGCATGAAGATGAGATAAATATCTGCGTACAGCGTAGCAGTGGCCTAAATATGTGTGACTATGGGTCGTGCTCAAGGTTTTACAAATTACGTTATTACGCGCCTATATAATTAGTTACAGTTTTATTCATATTTTATTTAGAAATATCAAGGCTTTACCTGAGTTACTGACACATTGAGTGTAGTTAAATTAATGCCTCATCCCTTCCACCCTTAGAAGTGATATCTCAAACTAAAGGTACACTAAGGATAGCGATTAGTGACCAATTATTGATGATAAGTGTGTCATTAATATTTATTAATAAATTTTTTTCAAGGTTGGATCCAGCTTTCCGGGGCAAAGGTCTTTGCGAATTAATGACAAAACCGATTGAAGCCTTCGACCTTCAACGAGACTTCGTTGAAGACAAAGATTATGATTTCTACGAACTAGACCGGAATAGTTTAGAGCCTAACTGTCCAGATACACTCAGAGGACCAGGTCTATTACATTCGGGTTTTTTATCCAATAAAAGGCCTGGCCAGGATATTGATAGATGGAAAGATAGAGTAGACTGGTACGATCGTAGTTCTCAAAGTGAATATGAAAGACATTACAACGAAAGGAGAAGAGTTGTTAATTCTAATAGAAGATATCAAAACGAGGTTTTTGTACCTTATCAAATAGGTAAGCAAATTCTTGTTAAAATTATTCTAATTCAGTGTCAGAACTTCGAAATATCGAAAAACTGTGAGAAGGTTAGGATTTCTGTTTGTAGGTTTTATTTTACCGGTTATTAGATTTGAAACCTATTTGTAAAAATTAAAATTTTAACACGGTTTTAGGAGTAAGTCGCAGTGATGAAGATAACGAAAGTGGAAGGCAATATGGCGGAGCCTACGGTGGTCACAATTACTATAAAGATAAAACCGATTATCGAAAATCATTCAACCACTGGCAAATATCAGACGAAGCTCACAGATCTAATTATTACGGCGTCAAATCTCATAACGTAAATTCAGATTTCAATTATAACAATTTATGGAAAAACATCGGTTGGGACAATTACGGCTACGGACATGGCGCGTGGAAGAGAGGAAGATGGAATAATTCATGGAATGGTTATGATTACGGAGAATCGGGTCACTACAAACTTAATAAACCTCCTGTTTATTACGAGTTGGATAGAATGGATGGACCACCAGCTAAAGGTACGTTTTTGGAATTCCAGAAAATGTATTGTTAATGTAGACGACATAAATGTATAATTTAGTGTATTACCAAAAGATGATATAGGAATAATCTAATTACCATTAATATTACCATTAGATTATTCACCTTTATATAATTTATTACCGACAGATTGCTCGTCGCGTCGTCGTCCTGGCATGTCGCTCGGATCAGGCGCCATTAGACGATCTCTGTTCGCTCGTAACGTGGTCGAATGTGAAGCCGCTTGTTTTGGAGAAAAGGAATTTAAATGTGTTTCCTACAGTTATAGGTAATTTATTTGTATATTTTATCAATAAATAATCAAGACGTAATACGATATTTGAAGCCAAACTACGTAAAAATTATTACAGATTTTTTTGTATCAAACATTTTAATTCTTGTTTATAATTCAAAAGAAAGAAACATTAATGTATTTTGACTTACTGAAAAACCATTTAAGTGTGATTTACAACTTCAACAGATATTCAAGCGGCCGTGGTTCTGATAATTGTTTCCTAAGCGAGCGACCTTATCGAGGACTGGACATGTCTGCTGATAGCGACTCAGATGTATATGCTATGCCGCAAGACCAGGGCTGTGCCACTATCAGCAGGACGCCTTGGGTGGAGAGCGGTAAGACTATTGATTACTACTTTTCAATATTTAATTCGATTAGTGTTTTATATCTTTGCGTTAAGCTTTATTTATATTACAGAACAATAACTAAAAAGGAAATAAAGTGTGATATTTTTCCACCCAATCAAAATTAAATCTTTTTCATATGGTTGTTTACCGTTATTATATAAGTCTTCGTAATTTAGCTATAGTTAAGAAGGTACACAGTCTATCTTTGTGTCTTTTTTTGCACTTGTGACTGAGTTATAGACTTATGTATCTTTATTTCTCAGAGTGTTTCTGGCATGTGCGATCTGAGTCTGCAGTAGCCGGTAGCGCGGCCCGCGCCTTGCTCACTGTCACGGGGTTAGGCGCCTGCGAAGCGGAATGTATTCGTGCGCATGCCTTCTTTTGCAGAGGTTTTAGCTTCAGGTACATTGATTTCTATTAAAATGTTATACCAGAAGTAAGGTTGAAACTTTTACAGTTGGAAACGAAGGTCTACTTTGAATTGATGCGCCAATCTAATTAGATGCAATAGAAATGTGGACGATAAGTTTAAAATACAAAAATATATCTTTAAACACAAACATATAGTTTTTAGTATTATAAAATCTAAGTATTTGCTCCTTAACATTTATCTTATTATTTATTTCAGATTCGATTCCCCAAAGATAGGTGATGACTTGGAGAATTGCATTCTGACGTCATCCCCGCCTACGTCACTAGAGATTGGTCATGGACTCCGTACTACGCCGGGACATGAACTGTACGCGAGAGGGAACTACGGTCGCGGCTGCGAGCCAGCTTTGTACGATGATGTGCAGCATAAAGATACTGGTAAATATTTCTTAGTTAGCTCGGATTATTTTAGAAGTAAACGCAGAACTGTACAAAAAACCAATAGTACTCATAAATGGGCAAGTAGGTCACATCATATGCAATCTTTAAATCCCATGTTTATTCGCCTCTTTTGCTCTAGATTTTTTTGTTAAACATTTGCTTGTAAAATAACATCAATTAACTAATTTGTTATATCTTACAGAGTGTTTCTTAAAGTATGACAACGCTGCCAAGCTAAAGGGTACTGCGGTGCGCGGGCTGGCGAGAGTGAAAGACGAACTGGAATGTGGCCGGGCCTGCACCGACGCTCCATTCACATGCCTCAGCTTTTCTTTTACGTAAATAATGACACTATCAAATTTTTTGACTATTAACCAATACCTAACAAATCGAAAAAACTGACAGTTCATTTCTGATCCCAAATGATATAACATCAATAAAATAATATGTTTCGTATTAACATTTTCAGTAATAAAGCGCCTCAAGGGAGAGACAATTGTCTTCTATCAGAAATCCGTCTGTTCGATTTACAACGTGGTGTGGATTATGAGCCTTCGACTGATGACTGGCTGTTTGCTTTCGACCTGTTTAACGGTCGCTGCTGGAGGAAGGTGCACGGAAAACAAGAGTACGAGTAAGTTTGCACTTATATGATTTTTCCACCAATTGCATAAATCACAAAGGAAACCTACGTAAAAATATTTTTACAGTACTCCGAGTTACGAATTGCCACACCCGATCCCTCCAGCAGAATACCCATCGTCTGTTCCAACCGGGGATGATCATTCAGGACCATCAGGTGTGAATTTATTATATTAAATTATGGTTGCAATTTAAAATTCCTTAAAAAGTTGATTAAATTCCTATATTCTTTTCTATATTTTAGGCCCGTCATATCATTCATCGTCAGGACCAAGTGGGCCCGATTTTAAGCCCGGATATCCAACAGGACCGGAACCACCAATTAATAAACCAGGTTATTCCGCGCCGTCTGGCCCTGGACATAAGCCGAGCTACTCTCCAGGATACGTGCCTGATACCGCTCCATCGGGACCAAGTGGACCCGACTACAAACCATATATACCTTCTAGCCCCGGTTATATAGAACCTAATGCTCCCACATTCAAACCTGCTTATCCACCTCCTACTTATAAGCCTGTAATACCTTTGCCGCCTCGCAAACCATTACCTACACCACCTAGTGGTCCCGATTACAGACCGGGTTATGCACCATCACCTCCTAGCGGGCCTGGATACAAACCCAGTTATCCTCCGATTGAATCGAATAGACCATTTCCGCCATTGCCACCAAAACCGGAACATCGACCGAGTAGTAGACCAGGATATGAAGGTGACCGGGAGGAGAGTGGAGGATGTAAGTAGAAATATTTTCAGTTTTCCCATAGTCTTGGATGTTGTATTTTCATAAATCACGCAATGAGATTTATTCAGAAAAACTAACCTTCTCATTTCTGAGTAGAATTTCATTTTTAATATGGTTTTGTTTCAGTGCTCATGTCGTGGCGACAATACACTGTGTCAGGGTTTCCGTGTCGTAGAGGCACAACCTGCGCACAGAATCACGTCGCCGGCCATTGGGCTTGCGAACCCGAGGGTGGAGAAATTGGTAAGAAACATAGACATTAGAATAAATGGACAAGCAGAATTGATATTTTTAATTACAATAAAAATAAAGAACGAGAGCTAATGATTTAAGAACATTTCTATTCCAGGATCATGGGACTACTGCTGCGCTCCAACCCATCGCTGCGGGTACAGTGAGGGATTCCAGAAACCATGGTTAGTTCATATAGATATAAAGTTTGATAGAAGTCAAAGTTAAAGAAGGGAAAGCATACTTTCTGTGATGTTGCTATTGTTATAAATTCAAGTTTATGTAAATAGTATAATAGCTACCACAATATACCTTATAGGTGTTTACATACATAAAACAAAATTTGCCAATGAAATATTTCATTTTGTTTAAATTTGCAGGTGCTACGTGGGCCCTACACATGAGCAATGGCGTCCGTGCAGTGAGAAATACTATCCTTATTTCAAACACAAAGTTCCCCATCCCTCACAAGGACAAAGAGGTTAATATAACAACTTAAACTTCGGTGCTTTAATGTTCTTTTGAAAGAATTTAAATTAGATTTCTTAAATAATTTACAAAATTAATCTTTATTTTAGAACCTAGTCCATCGCAAGTTTCGGGACAATGGCGTGACAGATCTGGTAATATAGCTCAGGGCGGTGAAAGACCCGGGTCTTATCTAGCGGATGCCGATAGAACTTATTGGGATGACCTGTATAAGAACGGCCCGAGGGCTTATTACGATAAGCATGGAAATCCATTACCAGGTAACCAAGGGATATTATGTTAATTACACCTTGTTTCTTTTATTTATACCATTCACTTTCGTATGTACCTTAAAATTTAAGTAGTTAAATTAATAAAATTCTGGTATTAAGAATTTATGACATAATTTTTTGTTCTTCGCTTCTTCACAACTCATTTCGAATATCATTTTAGGTTACACCCGTGTGGCAACAGAGGAAAGGCCAAGAATAAAATACCACCATAACCAACCTCAACCAGGCAGTGGAACTTGGGTGCCCGTCCCAGATTTAGGTGGTTTTGACAACCATATAGTCCCTGAGCCACTTGGAGCGCCTAGGTGAGAAGCAGTATACTATAGAATGTAGTAACCACATTGAAACAGATATTTTTTGCTATAAAACTTAGTTGTTTGTTTGTTCATTTCAGATATTGGCCTGTTGCGTATCTCCATAAAGGACCGCCTCCAAATATGACGTATTTCCGATATAATGAAACTGATCGTACCGCCTATGATAGACCTCAGTCTCGAGAAAGTGATGATGGTATAGCTTTACCAACGGAACGTTCAATAAACGAGTATAAAAGAGTAGACATCAGACCCAAAGCCAATGATATAGAAGGCAGAAAAATAAGAGACGGACCAACAGATAACCAAACAGATGTTGACGAAAATATTTTGAAAATCGACAATGATACCAAAACTACAACAAGTACAACAACTACTACATCAACCACAACAACTACGACAACCACAACAACTCCTAAGAGTAATTCTTACAAATCAAATAACGATAGTGAGGTTATCAACAATATAACAGATCCTAATACAACAGAGATTCAAATAAGTAAACCAGATAATGTGGATACAAATGAAGAACTTGAAAACATTAAAGGCATAGATGGCAAATTAGAAGATTTCTCTAAATCAATAGAAGTATTTGAATTAGAAGACAGAAGTAAATGTGATAAAGAAACTGATTTCAAAACTTTAGAAGCAGAAGAAAGACAGATTGAAGCAATCGGTAGACTTGTAGCTTCAAGACGTGGTGGAAAGCTAATCCTTGAAAAAAGATCGCAAAAAGATTTGGAAAGCAAAAACATCGCTGTCGATAAAGACTTGTTAGAATTTAACTTCGGAAATAAGTTTCCAACGACCGAAAGGCGCGGTATTATACAAAGAGTAAGTAAAGATGAAATAGACAAGGAAAGATTTTCCAATGACAAAAGCTTAGAAGTAAGTGAAACAACTTTTGTAAGACCACCTAGGATTCTTAGTACAACTGAAAACATACGCAAAGCTATTGTAAATGGAAAAGTATTTTACGATGCAACAATAAGGGAACAAAGAGATTTAGTAACTAATGCGACAAGAAAAGCTAAGAGCCTCAAATTGGATGAAGCGAGAGGTCCATCAGTTACATCTAGTAATTTAAATACCAAACGAAAAACAATACAACCAAGAAATGTTAATCCAATAAGAAAAGTAAGGAGAGTATTTAGGAAGAGATATAACCCAGAAGAAGTTAGAAAACGATTATTAGAAAGAGAAAAAAACAAATCTTTAGATAACAAACCAAAAGTAGAAGAAAATTAGTAAATTATTTCCATTGCTGTTAAGTTAAAGTAATTTCCTGTATCTTTTTCGATCGAGGTTACCAATTATATAAGAATATATAATATAGATATATGTTTGAATAAAATGAAAGCGAATAAATTCGTTAAATTTTATAACGTTAGATTGATATTGAAATTGTATTTTTAGGAGGAATAAATCCAGGGAATATTAGATTTTATGATGTGTATGGTGCTTATTAAATTGTCAATTTGACCTCAAATGTATACTTAATGTAACTTTTGAGTTGAACTGACGATGCTTTTATATTTAAGGTATTCTTAAAATTTAATTTTTATACTTTTTAGTACTATAAGTACTGCCTATAATTCTTTAAATGTATTTGTAGGAAAAATTTAGTTTCCTTTTTTATTACTACGATATATGTTTTCAAGTAATATAAAATTAAATCATACATTTGCACTTTGTTGTATTGAATAAATTGAGATACAGTCCAAATTTAATAAAGAATAACTTGCTATTTATTTTTGTAGCTATTGATATTTTCCTTAACAATACGCGTTTTATTTGATAACACCTAATCCTTAAAATACACTACACATATCTTGATTAAGACAAAACATCTTTGAGAATTACTTACGATGAACATTAATATCCTTACCTTCACATACATCTAGCATCTTCGATATTTTAGTATCTGTAATTTTTTGTCACGTTTAAAGAAAGTTGATGAAATAAAAAGTACTCGTAAATGTGTAGAAGTCGCACATGTTCAAAACAAGAACATTTAAACTATGTATTCACTGCTATTTGTCAACTTGTAACTCGTATTTGTTCAAATCAGACATTCCCAAACTTATTATTTCTCATTAACTAACTCTAAGATTCTATTGATGTTTATTAGTTTTGTGTGATTTTATTTATTCATTAACTTGTGAACTATTAAGTTTATTGACCAGTACATTCCAACGGGTCTTACTTATACCCCAATGGGTCTGAAGCACATTGATAGTCACTGGTTTAAGTTGTAAAAGTTGTAGAGATCTGGTAAAACTTGTAGTACTAAATGAAAAGCGGGTTGAGTTTCCTTGAAAACATAAAAGACGAGTTACAATGTCGCCAAACAGTTGTACATAATAATTTAAGCTCAATAGAAAGTAAACGAGGCGATGACTCAGCTGCGACTTACGCACGTACCAACAAACACATATTATGTGCAGTTAGCGCATTTCACTTGTGAAAGTGCATACGATACAGACGCGACATACTGCGACATTTCCTTAATGCAATTCTCTGTTTGGAAGCTATGATCAGCCACAAGACTAAGGTCAAGGACAATTCATATATTATAAAAACAAATGAATAATCAAAGATTATTATTTTGGGTTATCTACATCTCTTCGAAACAACATCATTGAAATAAGCAGAAACATTTATTAATTTTGGCCATTCCTAAACGTATTTTATCTTACATATAATATATAAAAGAAAATTGTGTTAGTTAAACTATTTATAACTTAACCGGCTTTACCGACATGGTTGAAAATTGGTGAGGAGGTAGCTTAGAGCCAGGAGACGGGCGTAGGATATTATTTATTCTTTTTTTTCAAATTTATGCTTTTTATTTAACTTATCTATATATTATTTTTTTTTATATATCCACGCGGTCTGAGTCGCGGGCGATGGCTAGTACTGTATAAATCTTACTAATAGTTTAAATGCGAATGTTTAGATGGATGGCTGGAAAACGGCTCAACTGATCTCGATGAAATTTGGCATAGATGTTAAACTGTAAGGACACATAAGCTACTATTATAATTAAGTTTTTTTTTAATGTCACGTGAACTGAGTCGCGTGCAACAGATGTACAGTCAGCGTCATATAGATCGTAACAGACAAGATATGCAAATATATAGGTACATCAAAAGTAATCAATTATATCGGTACAACAAAAGTCCTTTCGTAGAATTCTTAATGATAGACAAATACTTTGTATTTATTCTAAAGTGCGGTTAGCAAAATGATTTCTCGTCGAAAGCGTCAACATAATATAAATTATAAAAGATTGTTCACATAGATGTTATAAACGATTGGTCTCTATTTAATGACATAATTTGAGTGAAATTTCCGTTAAAAAGTTATAATATTACACATAATGTAATAATACTGTAATTTATTTATTTTTTTACAAGTAATGTTGATTTAATTTACTGTGTGATTTCTTGACTTCTTAAGTGCGATTTTTTCAGTCAATTATCGTTTCTCTTTTTTCTCATATGATGAAACGAGTGAGGTATGTCAGAATCGAACCGAATGGAGGTCCATGGTCTAAACTTATCCCTATGGATCGTGAGTTACGTCGCTGTTATTTTATATGAAAGTTTAGCTTATTATACTTTTACCTTTTCAATTTGGGAGTATACTACTCGTAGAACTATGACGTCACAATATATACGCGTGTATACACATTCTTATTTCAAACTTTTACACGTAGCAAAGAATGACTGAAGACAAGAGCGTCGGTGGGTGACTAGTCTTGCAAAGTCTAGTTCCTAGGTTGGAATTCCGCAATGTACCAATGTACATTTGTCCGACTTTTTTATGGTTAAGGAAAACATTGCGATGCGGCACATATCTGCGAAGAAATTCAAAGATATGTGTGAAATCAACCAACCCGTATTTGCCCAGCGTGGTTGACTATGGCCTAGTCACCCCTAGAGAATGTTCCGAGCCCCTCAGTGGGTTTATATAGTGAGCTGATGATGAAAGAATGACTCAAACATTTTAAAACTCTTGACTTAACAACTTGTTATCACCACAGTTAAACTCTACATAATTATAATCGTAATACGCACTGACACACATCATGTAGGTCAACTCGAACAGGTTTATTCTATGTGTTAATGGAGTAGGTTTATTTATTACGTTTCTCTATATTATAACAAAACTTTTTTTTTATTTATAAAAATATTAGCAGTTATTTTTGTATTCTTTTCATTTCTTTTACCATTCCAACTAAGATCTAGGCTTGTGCTAGGATATGGTATACGACAATAGTCGAATGGCGGGATTCGAAGCCCCGATTTCCTGATCGGAAATGCGTACACATAACTATTAGGCTATTGACGCTTAAAACTCATACAGCTTAACCTTTCTTACAGTTAATGTAACGGGGACCTATCATTACTTTGTTTCTCACGATTTAAAAAGAAACATTATTTTCTTTGATCATTAGTAAAGATGATCGTTGATCTTAGATTATACTTTCTCGTAGTACGAATATAAAAAACTGATTTACTACTTGCAATCTTGAGTATTCGTACTAAATTGAAGATATTTTATATCGTACAGTTTTTTGTTGAATATGTATTCTTATTAGGTTACTAATTACCGATTAATTTAGATATTATTATAATATTCTTACTGTTGGTTCCCGAGACCAAAATCTCTGTTTAACACATATCATCATCCCTGTCATTGTCTTCGACGAAACGGAGATAGCAATACATTTTAAAAAGAGTTTTAAATTACGGAAACCCACGGTTACAGATTTGGTCTTATTAAGTTTTATAAAATACGTCACAAGAATAACTCTAATAATGAAAGTAATCCAGCAACAATTAAGGGTCAATTAAAACATGTATCCTTAGCAGTAGAGATCTCAAAAATTCGGTATCAAAACTGCGGTCTGCATTGACCCTGGCGAAAGTTCGCTTTCACTCGTAATCCGTCGGGTAAAAGTGTTATTTGAACAATCTTATAGATGTTATTACAAACTTCGCGGCACTTTCTTCAGTGAGTTCAATGAACTTTGCACTTGACTCTTGTAATCACACAATGGCTTCGTTATAATTGGCTGGTTTTGTATGTGTTAATTTTTAAATAGGAAAAGTATGCCATGTCTTAAAAAAAGTTGTAGAAATTTTTGTTTATACCTAGCTGTTTTCATGCTCTGTTAATAACAAAGTGATCCTATAAGGGTTCCGTTTTTTTCCTATGAGGTACGGAACCCTAAAAACGATGAAATTATTTTAACATAAATACAGAGAATTTAGAGATAAAATTAAGAATTTTACATTGTTACTCTCATTAAATAATGTTACCGATACATTTAATTCTTTAAATGCAGACAATATTCATAAGAAAGAACGAAAGAAAAACTTTTAATGATAATTAATAAAGATTAAACCAAAAACAATAATTTTCTACTAACATAAAACAGTTTTTCAATAGAGTTATTAAAATACTATACCTTAAAATATATAAGCTTATTGCAGATGTAAATGATAAATTATCACTTGGCTTTCTGTGTTATCTAGTAATCATTTGGCTTATAAAAATTCATCAATAACAATTATTGCAAAATAGCTGTCGCCCCCGACACCGTCCGCGCGGAATTAAAAAAAAACATAATAGCCTATGTGTTCTTGCAGACTATGTTTTATACGTATGTGAAATTTCATCAAGATCCATTTAGCCGTTCTGGAGATTCCTTCAAAGAAACATCCATCCATCTAAACATTCTCATTTATAATATTAGTAAGATTATTTCGAACGTTTTTTGTTCAAATTAACTGCGCTAAATTCTCACGTTAATTTTGTCAGTCTACATCAATGAGTAAAGAAGCTCACGACCCCGATACGCTAGACCAGTTCTCTCTTGTGATTCATCTCCATCAAAGAAACTCTTCTTATACTTGATTAGCAACATTTGAAATGTACAGTTATGATCTAACCAGACAAAATCAATAACTAACTTATCGTCGGTTTCCGAGACCAATAACCAAAAATTGACCTTGAAAATAATTTAACCCTGTTTAAAAACATATCGTTATCTCTGTTTTTAAAAAGATAATGAGTGGGATTATGATAATTTTTTCTACAGAGATATTGCCCTCAGAAACCAACGATTAATAAGTTAACGAGTACAGTTGTAATAATATTAAAATATTTAATTTTTGAGTTACTTAGTAACTTAAAAGTGTTTCTATATTAAGAGTAGATTGCATCAAAATCTCACGGTTTTAAGATTGAAAAGGAGTTACAACCTTATGTAAAAGACCTTAAAGATCTATTCTTTGGTAGTATATTTTAATAACGACTAAATTAAGGCGGGCCATGAGTGTAATGTGCAAAGTATGTTAAACTCTATGTATATATAATGGGTGGATATATAGTGTCAATATCCTGTCTGTGACTGCAGACTAAATACGAGCTTCCTAACCCACAATATAGACGCAACGAGAATTTGTAATACGACACTTCGAGGTCAAACTATGCAAGCCTCTTGGCAATTTCTCTTTGCGTTTAATGCATTATTAAAACATGTGAAATCGTCTTTTTCCGCACGAAATACAAACTGGTTTTAATGATGTGAAAGAAATTATATATTTTGCATAATATGCGAAAAGAATGTCGATATTTTACATTTGCAAATTTTCTGTTAAAAGTGCAATTATATTTGCAATCGATAAGAAAGTCTTGTTAATTTTCTTACGTTTGTATTTTTAAAAAAA